AGAACAACTCTTTGTATCTAAGTGTCAGCACTAACCTTTATACATGTGAAATGACATTGGTAAGTAACATTAAGAATGTCAAAGTGAGTTTGCAGAGAGATGTTGTTGACAAGTTGAGAAAGTAGACTGTGACAGAGGAAAGATTAGCAAGTATCTGCATTCACTTACATTTCAACGCCATCGATCACACTAATATGATCACAAAGTCCAATCTCAAGAGACGCAAACAAGACCATTAATCAATACTTCAAACTTTGGTTTCTTCTTTTCTGTTTGAATTTTGATTCACTCAAGTAATCTGAGTGATTGAGGTGGGGGAACTAACCCCAGCAACACACAAGAAATGACTGACCTTGAAGTAGGTAAATCACAATAATAAATCAGCCTTCACAGGAGTCACACTAAGCTGATTGCCAATTTAGCAGTGAGAAGTCTGCTCATTGTCCTGTTTTCTGCAAGTTTCCATAATTCAGACGTCAGTTCGGTCCAATGAGTCATTTCGCCTTTCACCCTTTTTCCTTCACTCAGGCAGGCTTTGTGTCTGGAAAAAGCCAAAAGATGCCTTCAGTCTGCATGGACTGCTGCCAGCATTTTAATACTGTGGATGTGTAAAGGTGTTAGCAGCCATCTCGTGTCATTAGATCTGATTATTGCTCTGCATGGTCATATAACAGTCAACGAATGAGACTGTTTTACAGGTCCAGGTGGTGCAAACACTGTTCCCTAACCATGGTCCTGTTTTCCAAGATCCTAATGTGCCCATAAACACTGCTAAACAAATCACAGAGTGGTCTCATGAACACTATTAAGAACAAGATCCTTATGTGGCCTCCCCAGTAAGCAGATTTAAAGATCATCAAACCTTTATGAGATTGGGGGCAGAGAGTGTGGAGTTGCCTCCGTCTCATCCCTCACAGAAGTGGAGGATTTCCTTCTTGACAAATGTTCCAGTATCCCACTGCACATGTTCTAGGATTTGAGTGGTTTCCTTCCTAGAAGAGTTAAAGCTAGTTTCTTATTATTTGGTGTTTTTATTGTATTGTCCACTGGGGGGAGGGGTCACGTGACCCTCTCATAATTTGATTAACATCAGCTATGCTATGTAATCATTTTTTTCTTTCAGATCATTCACTTTTATTTTATTGCCAGTCTACTGCTTCATACTCCGCTGTAGTAGGTTATCAGTATAAATTCTTCAGTGTGGGAGAGCTCAAAATGCTTCATGGGACAGCACTTTGGTGAAATCACTTCTGTGGCCACCAAAATGTGAGACTCATTCAGTTTAGACTTCTGTAGGTTCTTTAAACTTAGTGTTTGCCTAAATCCAAATGACTGGACTTGCCTGAACTTGCTGATGGCTGTCCAAAACCACAATTCATCAAGTTCACAGGGGGCCTCAGGTGGACTTTCTGCAGAGTCTGCTTGGGTTACCAACTTTATCAGATTAACCATAGTTCATAGAAATATGGATTTGATCATATAAAAGTCAGCAATTATAATAACTACCATATTTATTATTGAACATATTTTCACATTTAATGTACACTGGGATTTAATATTGTAAACAAAAAATATGCATTGACTGAATAATTTGGATGTGTGTCAGCACCTTTAGACAAATACCATGAAATGGGTGACAGGATCAGGAATTTTGATTCATCACCATGAAAATGAGTGAGGTCTCACGTCCTGCTTCATAGCGTGTTTTATCCATTTGTGGTCTAGAGCCCTCACATACTTGACACGATGATGGTGAACACATCACAGTATGTATGACTGATGTCTGTGAGGGCTCAGTCTGCAAGTCAGTCTGCAAGAAGAGACAGTGCTTGCTGCTATATGTTAACTTGCTCTTGATCATTTCAGACTACCCGTCATCTCCTTTTTTAACATTAGAGGGCTGAATTGTGGCTTATTTCCTAAAGCAAAGTCAGCAGCATTGCAGACTTACATAAAGTGTGCATAAAGAGCTCAAAACGTTTATGAAAGGGTTCTCAACCACTTATCGTTTTCACAGTAGGACAGCACTGAACCTTGGGGCTTATGGGGAATGCAGGTCTGTGAGTCTGTGAGGGCAGACATTGGGACTGGGCCGAGGAGCCAGTTGTGGCTTCAGTTTCCTGTCCACTAAACATCAAAGTTGAGTCTGGCTTTGCATTTTAAGTGGCATAACGACATTATGGCTATTCATGTTCCATAGTAGAGGACATCAAGTACCAAGCAAACAGTAGTGTTGTCCTTATACTCTATGAGCTCCTTATGGGAGCTTTAAATCACGCTGCCCTCATATCAGTACATGAAACAGGAAGCACGTGAATGACAAGCTCTGTTAGAACAAGGAGCAAAGCAAGCAGGTAGTGGCGTTTTGAGTTTGGCCGAAGCATTTGCTTAGCTAATGAAAACCACGCTGGCTGGAGATCTGGACTTCCATCCATCCTTGGCCGATGAGTTAAGAGACTTTTGAGGGTGGTTGCTGGGTTGTGGACAAGACGAGGCTAATGATGGATGAGTGTGGGCTCCACTCTCAGTCTAATATCTCATCTGAGCCAGACTTTCTCTACACCAAATTTTGCCCCATGCAAGTAGTTACACTGTCCAGTGGTCAGAGTACTGCATCAGGAAGTCAAAGAAATTTATTGACAGTGCAATACTCCTGTGATCATTTTGGCCTGCGTCTCACTGTCTGCAGCTTTGTTTATTAATCCCATCCAGCCTGCTGATTCAGATTTTCCACAATACATCATTTTGATTTCTATAATTATTTCTTTTTCTCTAATAGCTCAAATCACCTGGAGCTCATTTAGTGAGATCCAGAGTCTGTGCGCAGCAAGTTTTCTCACCTTTCAGGGTGCCAAAGCAGAGCTGTTGGTGACGACTGTCAGTTTGCCGGTGCCCGCTCAAACCTGCAGACTGTCCGCTTCGCTGTACAGCTTTTTGGCTGAAATTCTCCATGATCTATTTCATAACCTCATGACCCCACCCTGTTATAAAGTAATACTTGGCAGCACTGTTGAAAATAAACACCTTTGGGGATTTTCCAATCTAACCCTGCTCTGTGAGTGGAGGCTGCATGACTCAAGCCTACCTGTGATAATCAGTATGCCAAAATATTACCAGCTGTGTTTCGCCGCTGGTTGTTTGGGTATTTCCAGAAATGCTGTAATGACTGAACACTGTTAAATTCTTGCTGAAATTAACTTAAAGTCATTGATTCAATAGCTAAAAAATCAAATAAAGGGCCTATATATATATATATTTGAATATTACTAAGACTGCCTGAAAAAAACTATACAATGTTGTCATATTTCATGTGGGGTGGTGTTTTAGAGCTATTAAAAGCAAAAACTCATCACAATTGTACAAAATCATACTGAGCAATGGACAAGGCCGAGCAAATGTGTCAACAAAGTGATGTTTACAGTGGGAAATCTCTGCAAAAAATGCTGCAAAATGTAGATTTCATTCCCAACTCTTGGCATGTACAAGTCTTTTGTGGACATGCTTCATCAGCTTTCACACTTGAAGCATCTACATAGCAAGATTTTAAAGGTTATAGATGGAAACTTGAGTAGAATGAGTTACAATGATGATAAATCTTCCTGTCAGTCTGTTTAAGCTGTTAGCTTAGCACACAACATATATGAGAATCCAGTCACTTACTGTAGCTCAGGTTTCTTTACACTGGCTTTCCCTATTCTTCAGTGATTTGACTTCACGTTTACATTTGCTGGGATCCAACTTCTGAGAAGACGCAGTAGCATTCTTTCTTCCTCCCCGTGACACGTTTTCACGGCATTACTGCTCACATCTGCGCTCATGCTGCAGCCTTACATGAGTCAGTTTCTCAAAGTCAGGAATCAGAACAAGTGGCCTCTGTTATGCATCACGCCAGTCTAGACAGCAACTCACATTACTTACAGGCTTAACTGCCAGCAGCATTATTACTGGCACAATAAAGCGATGGAGACAAAGTGAATAAAAGTTGAAGAAATACAGATACATATATGTATTTATGTTTTTTGCAATTTGCCAAATGGACAAATTTGCAGGTGCCACACAGCTCAACTTCAATGCTACTGGAAAGGTCAATTTTATACACTGGTGATAATTCTGACTCATTAATCTTTGATCATAGACAGATTTACACATATAGGAAGCGTTTCAGAAGCTAGAGATCCTGTTTCATGATGTATCTCTCTGATGTGACGTTTTATCTCCATCAGCTTTTCTATGATTAAGTGCAAGAGAATTGTGTCTGCAGTGAGAGACAACGTCACACAGTTGTCTTGCAGGCTCAACACCTAAAACACTGAGACGCAGAGTTCACAAACAATGCGTAATAATGCTAAGAAACTGCGCTGTGGAAAAAACTCAGACTGATGATATCAGCCAAATACCTGTCTGGAGCGCAGAGCAGCATGGAGTCTGCCATGAAAGAACAATAACAGGCTTTATAACTGATAATTGAGAAATGGTTTTGAACTATTTGCACAGTACATAAAAAGCAATGTTCCACATTTACCACATGCTTTGGGAACAAGTTCAATTCTCTGTATGTTTAAGTGTTCTCAATAAACTCAGTGGGCCACCAAAATAGCTGAGAGGATCGGTATATTTGCAGAGTTGCATTGTTTGAACATAAAACGGTAAATTCATGTCACAGATTGACCCTAATCAAAGAACAGGAAGGGTCTCTTCTGGGTCCATTCACACTAAAGCAAGCATTTATGATGGGCAGCAGCCACATGAAGCTCTTTGCTTGCAGAGCTTTAGGGTTATCATCAGAGCAGCTGCATATTTGCATGTGCAAATGATAAACATTTACTATCAATTTGTTTTCATGTTGGACTGTTAGTAATATCAGCGCTTCTCGTTATCTGTGACAAGCGTTTATTCATATCTTCAGTAGCTCAAAAGAAGTGCAGCGGTACTCGTGCACTGCGCTGCCTCGGTGTGACTGTGTCCCGGCTCACTGGCTCACCGGCAAGCTGCAGCTCGGATGGAGGCAGCTCAGTCCGCACGGCTGGCTGTGGTACCAGGGTTGGTAGTTAATATGGAATATTTGCACAGAGCGAACTGCCAAATGCATTTGCCCCGGCGGAAAAAAGGCGCCCTGTAGTAGCGCAAATTAGAAAAGCAGTTCATTTCGCCGTTCTTTATGGCGTCTGGCTCCGGGGATGAAGAAGGAAACACGGAAGGCGTTTCATGGAGACTCATAGGCCCGGCCTCGGAGCTTTCCAAGAAGCGCTGCCGCCTAATGCACTCCTCCCTCGGCTACGACTCTGATGTCTGCCTGTTCTATGCGAAGGGGGAGTTTTTTGCCATGGATGCCCGCTGTTCACACTCCGGTAAAGCCACAACCTATCAACTATCAAATCCATACTCGCCTAGATTAACCCTTTAGGTGAATTAAACAGCGTGTCCCATTTTGTAAATATATAAAATTTGTGCGTGCAGCAGCATATTGAGCTTCATAGGAAATGGAGCCTATTGTTGATGAAACTAAATCAAAATGTGAGGGTCATGGTGATGATCTTGAGCAACACCATGTTATACAAACCTCACAATCACATTTTCCTAGAGGGAAGACAGCAGAAGTAATTTATTTTGAGAAGAAACTGATTTCCTGTCTCCCCCAGGCGGTCCACTGTGTGAGGGGGACATTGAGGAGGCTGATGGAGTCCTGCAGGTCTTCTGTCCCTGGCATGACTATGACTTTGACCTCAGGACTGGAAAGTCAGGGACCTCATTACAGGTCAGTCATGAAATACTCTTATGTCCTTTTAGTGTCATAATACTGTATTATTTTTCCACCAGAATATTTAATTGTCTTCTTAAGCTCTGTATAAACACAATACAAATTTTAGTGACTTAGTGAAAAACATTAATAGTTTTCTGTTGCATTTCTGCTGCAAAGATGCCATATATGATCATCTTTGGACCACCTGGCACTATATTGCTTACACTAAAATGTGTATCTGACTTTCTAAGTCATCATATGAAAACTTAATTGTATACCCAGGAGGCAGGAAGCTTCAGTTGCTGACTACAGCTGGGAGTTGATGTGAACAATCAAACTAATCCAATCAAATCACCCACATTTATTAGATGTAGGACGTTCTACTGATTGAAATCAGTCAGAGTTAAGATCATGTTTTCCGACATGTCTTCTTCCCCTCTTCTGCTGTTTGGATGAGTGAATCAATGAACTGTCCAAACAACACTTTCCATAAACATCTCATCTTCTTTTCCATTCATCATTTTCATAAACAGTTGTGTCTTTTGTACATCACTACAATGAAATATAACAAATGTTCTGTTGTCATTGAAGTCAGAATTTAGGATTTACTACCTTTTTAACTTTAATACACTCTGTACTTACTTTGAGTTCTTACTGTTTCCACAGTAGCTCTAGGTATTGTGTTTCTTCTCCAACCTTCAGCTCCTAAGTCTTTGTTTTTATTGTTTCAGCAACAAGTGTATGAAGTCAAACTGGAGGACGGCAACGTGTACGTGAAACACGCCAGTTGTCTCTCCTTACTGCCTTTTCCTGCAGATCAGAAACGCTGAACAACCTCAGTCCAACTGCTTCATCCTTCAGCCCTTGGTAAGACCTCAGATCGCTTGATTACGGAGCCTCCTGCCTGTTTCGAGGTCACTCAGACTATTTTTAAGACTTGTTTCACAAAGCCCAGGCCATCCGAAACATTCCTAAACCTTATCTGTCATTTTCTCAGAGCTGTTTCTGCTTTGATTGCTGTGAACTCAGGACTATATCAAGAAGATTGTCTGAAGTCTTTGTCTTTCAGAGTTTTTCTTGCTGGCACTCCAGGTATAGACTCATCACAGACACTGAGCATAGAGAGCTGTGAGTTCACTGCAGACCTTGATAAAACACCAAACAGTGGCAAATATGCAAAATAATAACACTACATTTTACTTTTCTCAGCAGATGTTCTAGAACCAACCAGCATATTTGATTATTGGCAGTGTAACAGTTATGTGTCTATTGATCATTTTCTACATTTTAAGAAATCCAGAAGAATATATATTATATCATCTGATAGAACTATTACATAGTGAATATATTTTGTATTTGTCCATCTATTTCAAAAATCATAATTGCTATTTTGGGATGAAACAAAGCCTTTGTGTTTCACTGTCTCATTAGAGGTCATGGGAATCGTTATGAAATATGCAAAGTGCAATGCTAATCTAGCTAATTTGTGAATACAACTGAAATGGAAAATATGGATAAAAGGAGAGAGCAGTAGAACCTGAAGAGAGCCACCTTGATGTCCTGAAAAGACCTGCAAATGCCAATTATCACTTTAGGATGCGGTGTAATGCGGAGGTCCAAAACTGAGAACCACTGTATTGGAATGAGTAATAAATGTCTACTTTTAGTATAAAGCTCCTACTATTTTCAGTGGAGGACTTTGTATGTAACCATGAAATGATGAAGTATAATGACTAACTAAAGTGTCTCACATTCATTACTACTCATGGTGGTTTTCCCTGTCCTCAGCAAGCATTACCTTTAGTCTCAAACTGTTTAACTCACAGACAAGAAGTCACACTTGCTGAGTTGTGGCCTTTGGATTAATTTAGACACTTATTCCAGTGATGTCACGCAACAGAAACTCCCGTTCAGGATTTGAGTTTCTGGATTGTTTTTTAACCCAAATATAGTTCCAGCAAGTAGAACACACATGGAGGGCACTGCAATTACGACTGGTGGCAGCTCTGGTGCTAAGATGTCTCCATCAGCATTTCTCTCCATTCCTGGCCTGTGCACATACAGGTTTGTCTGTGACTGACGCAATGGGAACTAAAAGACATGGTTAGTAAGGCGCCGGGGGAAGGTTCACAACCTGAAATGCACCATTGACTCGAGGAAAAATGTGTTTTTCTAGCTTTATGTGTGTGCGCACTGATGCAAGTGTGTTTTCTTTATTCCTTAGTGGTGAGAGCAGTCACTCACTATATTTTCTGTCAGCTCCGTTTTCGGGCAGACACACAGAGCCCAGTCAAGAAGGTGTCTGTGACAGTGTGGCTCGATACACTCGTTTTCCTCCCTGCTGTGTCCCCTGTAGTGCAACTTTATTACAATAATAATTCCTCTGCCTGAAAATGTGTTATGTGCTGCAGAGGTCACACTGTGTGCATTGTAACTCATCACCTGGAGGGTAATGGGCGTGCACAATGGAGATGTAGCTATTTTGTGTCAGTAGAAAAGTTAAAGTAAATATTGTTCAGGATTCTGCAGAAGCAAGGAGTGGTCTGCACATTTTTACATCTTGACATAACATCCTGAAAGTGTCCCAAGACACCAATGAAACCACCATTCATGTCAGACTTTCTCTGTGTTTCCTATGTTTTTTTTCATATGTTAAGCTAAACTAGCTCATTTTAATCTGTTTGTTCCTTTTTTGTTTCTTGTGTGAACTATGTATCTGGTCTAAATGTTGAAAAGACTGCAGACACTGTAACGTGTGACAGAATTCATTTCAGCTATTAGTTGTGAGATGCTTTGTTTGTTTTAGACTGTGTTCATTGTGACTTATGCAAAGCTCAAAATTTTGTATATCTGTCATTAATTAATTCACAAATTAAATTATTCTGTTATCATCATTGTCATATATTTCTTATAAAATAGAATAAACCAAAACTCATTTTTCTTATGTTCAGAAATGTGAAACTGTTAAACTTTGATGATTTTTCAGTGCGTGTTGAGTACATAATACACAAGAGGAATAAGAATCAAAAGTTTACACAAAATCATTTATTTACAGTTTCTTGTTCGTACAATTATAGTTGATTTCATAAAATACACAATTTACACATGAAAACCTAATTCAGAGAAAAACAAAGAGATCGGCATCACCATGCAATAGTTAAGCATTTAGATAGGATTATCGTGTGTGTGTGTGTGTGTGTGTTGTATGTGTGTGTGTGTGTGTGTGTGTGTGTGTGTGTGTGTGTGTGTGTGTGTGTGTGTGTGTGTGTGTGTGTGTGTGTGTGTGTGTGTGTGTGTGTGTGTGTGCTTCTTTTACTGGAGCACAGTGGCAAATATACAACTCTCTTCTTATACCCCAGAAAGTGGTGGAAAAGTTCAAGGATGACCTCCTGAATAAATTATGATCTCCCTGAGACCAGCTGGACTGTGCAGAGGAGAAAACGGATGAATCTCTTCATGCTTGAGTAACTGTTAAATTGTTTGTGGTCTCTTTTGGATAGAGAGTCCTGTGCTTTTCTGCCCTGAATTTAAATAGTACCGGTTAGCGTTACATGCACCCACTGCAATTCTGTTACAGCGTCTCATGAAGTGGTTTTGAAAAGAAATGAACTTCAGATTTGTTTTTTAAATTTTCAGTCATTACAAAAGAAAAATTTTCACTTGAAAATGCCAATTGTCATGCAAGACCTAACAACAGCTGCTCATTCACTTTCTGACCGAGAATTAGGTGAGAAGATCGATAGCACTCTCATGTCTGCACAGCAAATATGAAGCCAAGGCCGGCAGCCCGTTTCCAGTCTTTATGCCAAGCCAAGCTAACCGACTGTTGATTGTAGCTTCATATTTAATAATATGAATAATACAAAAATGAGATCCCATCTAACTCTTGGCAAGTAAGCAAATTTCCCAAAATGATGAACTGTGCCTTTAAAGGTGTAAAAAAAAAAATAATAATGCATGAAGCTCCATTAATCTGTATTTGTGATATTAACATTGAATTTCTCCCTGTAAAATGAAGCGGTTGTTATGATTACTACTATTCCCACAGAAGTTCAATGAGAGAGATATTTTCTTTCCATTAAAAATGAATCTCTGCTTTGTTTTTTATCTGTTGGATTTGAGCTGAAACTCCCTTTATCCGATTCTAAAGACTTTGGAAACTTTTTCTTAAGTCGTTAAACCAAACATTGCAGAGGTTCTTTAATCTTCTTTGAAGTTCCCCAGAAGACAAAGAAGCTGTTTGGAGAGCCCAGCTTACTTTCCCATGCAAAGGCTTACATAATGGTTTACTTAGCCTATTATTGTTACCTTGTCCTTCAAACTCCCCTGATAACTTCTCTTGAAAAAGCCAATTCGCCTGTCAAAGCATTCTCCCCTGAAAACCTGCATTCTTCCATGTGCAACCACTTTCGAAGCCCAAGATTCTGTAAGTGATGGACTGTGATGCCAAAAGCCACTAATATTTTCCCTTCCTTTTTTCCTTTTACCAAACAGTGCCCCAAAATGATTAAATCCATCACTAGATAATCTTGCTCCTCTTTCTCTTCATGTCTTTGGTCTAACATTTCCTCCAGTTGCTCTACAGCTGTTGGGCCTCCTCAGCTGACCTCGCACACCATTGCATTTTTATAGGACTTATCTCTTCCCACACCTGGATTCAATCATCATCCTTCTTATAGGGTTGGATGCTACATCTGCTGCAGGGAGATGTTTGTTTTCATCTGGAGATCTGAACTGTTCAGCCTGTGCACGGCCCGCAGGCCTATGATTACAGGTCAGTGATAATAGTGAAGTTATCACAAGCTGTCACTATATTTTTCTGTTATCTGGAGTGCTCATAGTACAAAATGGAAAGAGACTGTTCTTTGAAGTGGGCCCAAGTTCAAGTGTAAAGTGCAGAATTTACACAACTTCACATCGGCACCTTTTAGCACATGGATAAACTGTTGGGAATATAAATGTAATCAGGCTTAAATGCATCGAACTGGAAGAATTAACTATACTGTAGGCTGGGTGCCATTTTGATGGTAAATATGTTTGACTGTAATCCTCTTGGGCCCAGTATATTGTTGATTACTTGATTACTTTAAATTAACTTGTTTAGCTGTTTAGGAAAGTCAGGGGCAAACTGTTTTAATAGTTCTCAAGAGAACATGTAATTTATTTTCTAATTAGCAGCAGGCTTATATTTACTTGTCAGCTTCTCCTAGTTTCTCCATGGACCACGGCCCCCCTTATTTGGTTTTGGATTAGTTCAGCTTGAAGAGCTTCTCCCATGGGTCTGCAAGAGCCTATTTTTCAGATAAACAAGTTTGGAGCTTTTATCACAGAGTGAAGTTTCTTCCTATTACTGACTTCAGTTCAAATACCCAGATATTCTTTTATGTAAGTGTAATAATTTATCTGTCTCAATATCTTTCAAAGTGTGTACTTGACATTTACTGATACTGTTGCTCATGCTGTCAAAGTGACAGGATTTATGGAAACTTGGCCAGTAGTATGGCATTTCTTAATTATCGCTTTCATGTGGAAGAATCCTGCAGTGGGTTTTGTTAATGAGAAGAAGGCTCCGCTGAGAGTTTTAACTCCCACTAACAAGATTGCTCTCTGAAGTTGAAAAGATTACTGTGGTGTATAAAATTGTAAAATCAACTGAGTCATGCAGCAAAGCATGAAAAGGTTAATAGATTCTACGCAGTTCAGAAAGTTGAAGAATGATTACATAGCATTTAAATTACTTGCTGAAAATCACTCGGAATGAGTCCTGTGCAAGATCTCGTACAAACACCTTAACCACACTACCTACTGAATGAGTTATTGTTGTTTCATTCACCAACAGCATTTTTTGTGCACTGTTTGTTACATGCTGATTTTTAATAATTCTCAAGTTAAATTATACTACATAGTTATTGCACATCATGATATAAAGGCAGCTCACAAACACATTACCCAACAACAAAAACAATATCCATTTAGACCTTGAATGAGCCACTGTTACAGTTTTTGAGTAAATGAAATATTGGGTAATATATCGCTTTGAGTAATATTTTGTTTGGTGATGTGCTAATTTGGAATGTGCAGAGGACAAAAGGACATTATGTCATACCTTGAAATTAATTATCTTGATTTATACTTCCTGCTACTAGTGAGATCCATGCTTGTCTTGGCGAAGGCCTTGGTCTTTCACATTCTAGTAGGTGTGGACGGACATTTGGCTGAATCACAGTTGGCAATGTCGCATGCGAATGAAAAATATTAAGAAGTATGACTGAAAACATCCTCTGTTCCCAGGGTGGCATGCCTCACCCCACTGTCTCTTTCGAATGTGCCTCCCATTGGTGGAGAGAGTTTCCCAGTTTGTAGAAAAAGGACTCAGTGTCTGCTGCAGACAACAGGACCTCATGTTTTCCTCGCTCTGATCTAGTATGAGTTCAGTGGAAAGCGATGACCAATTATGAAGTGTTTGGGGCCTGGCTAAGTAGTTTAAAATTTTTGAAGGTTTGATTTTAACCCAAGTATTGAGTGACATCAGCAAAAACACCCACAATGGGGAAAGTGGAATGCCACAAATTAGACCTATAAACGTATAAAAGTTACATTCTCCACTGTCAATTTAGTCTATTCATTTCTAAAATTAGACCAAAGCCAATTAAATAAGTGCCAGTCACATATAGACAAATGCTGCATGTACTAATCTCGTCAAGTATAAGACTAATGAATATAATCAATCACACAATGATTTTGCTGAATTGCTGTCTGCCTCAGTTTTGCAATTTTCATAGTCAAGAGGGAGTTCATACTCAACAACAAACGGACAACTTTTACTTCCTCGACTTGATGCTGTCATATCAGTTTCAACTGAATACCTATAAATGAAAAGGAAAGAACATATAAATCATTCTGATATGACTGTCAATGTAAATATACATCAAATTACCTTATCAAAACCTACCTCTTGCCACCTCTATTGTCGCTGCTGTGTGCGCATGGACATTCTCCTTCTGGTTGTAGAGGTGACTCTGCGACTCTGGGTCCTGCCCTGCTGCTCTGAAGGATAGGCCACCACCTGGGTGGATGATCTCCGCACCTGTACACCCTCCAACTCCCTCATGTCCCTCGCCATCTGAGACAGTGTCTGACCTGGATTGGTCTGCAGGCGCTGGAAGAGGCTTTCCCTGTTAATTTTCCTCTCAGGACAGCTGAAGGTCAATGCTACCCCAGAGTCTGACTTCATCTCCCTGGAGAAACCATCTGAGGTACCATCAAAGCAGCGCCCAATGGCAATCTCCTTGGCCACCCTGGGATTCTGGTCTGTGACTGTGTAGATGCCATAGTTGTGTCCCAAAGGATCAAAAGGAGCTAGCATACTGAATGCATGGGACTCGTTGTTTTGAGCAACTGGTGGATGTTTGATGAGATACTCTTGTAGGAGGCTGTTGGTGCCAATCTTACGACAGTTTCCCTGTGGAAGGACTGATATGAGGGATCTGTCCACCTCAGCTTGATCAAACAACATGCCGCTGCATTTGAACTCCACACAAGCCGCCGAGGTGTTGGCCTCTCGCATGTCCCGGGTACTGCGAATGTCTCTAATGCCGTAAAGTTTACCTTTTGTTTCTCTGTGTGTCCCTCCCAGATTCCTTGACCTGATCATCACTTCCTTCGGTCCATGGATCTTAACTTTGATGAAACATGCTCTGAACTCCTGGGGATTAGGCCACCAGGAGAGGTAGTCTCCTGTCCATGTTGTCAAATCATTTTCCTCAAAGGGAACAACATTGTATTCGTACTTGTCCTTTTCCACTCTGAAGAATCTGAAATGATTTGCATCAACAGGGGCATTTTCACATGCTATTAAATTCTGATAGGGATATATTGGCCCATT